ACTTTGATGATGGGACAAAAGAAAAATCGATCCCGATTCAAAAATTATTTTTTGCAACGTTTAATTAGCTTTATTAACGATCCATCATGTTATTACAACTAAATGAAACTATAATTTCATTACAAAATCACGAAAATATCTAAACATAATTTACTTACTTAAAATTAGAGGCGGCAATCATAATAAAACTTGGAATACATTTTAAAAGTATTTGCTTATCTCTTTTTAAATTCAAAGTACTGGACGGATTAAAAAAAAACGACAGTCCATTAGAATAAAGTGAAAGAAACATTTTTAAATTAATTGTGAATAATTAGTTAACTATTGACCATACTTGTTATTTATTTTAACTATTAAGTTATTTAGTGCCATTTTATTTCTATTTTCTTGTATGAAATCAAAGATAACGTTGAATTTTTTTTATAATTGTGTAAGTGAGTACCCAATTGCCGAACTGCCTGTTGCGTCAGGGTACAATTGATTGTCTATTTGTATTAAAAATGATAACTATAACTTCCAAATTCCGGATGAAGTCTAGTCGTAGGTATAACTAAACTTATAAAGTTAAAATTGGGAATATCGTAACGGTTTAATGAACTGTGGAATGGTCAAAGTGCTAACCGAAAGGACACACGAAAGTAGCGGTGAGCATTTGTTTCAGCGGGATTTATTATTATTTTTGGTATTTGAGACAGTTTCGTCTTGACGTGTGCGTGAGCGACAGTTCTACTGTTTTTTTAATGAAATTATTTTAACGTTTTGTGTTTTTTTGTTTTGTTTTAATAATGCCTAATGCTTACGTTTATAGTGCTCGTGAATACGGCAACATGTTAATGTGCCTTGGGAAAGCTCACGAGAATGCTTTGCGTACTAATTTACAATTTTATAAAGTATCGCTAAATTGTTAAGGCAATGGGATGGAACAAGTGTGTCATACTGGACAGTTCATAAGGTGTTAGAGCATAACCCATTGCGCTCATACAAAGGCAAGTTTACTGCCGTAGGTTGTTACACCTGCAACAACGTGTTGTTGGTTTCATTGAGCACGTCATCTGAACAGACGCGTCGACATTTACTAGAAACTGCCTGCGGAACCGAAGAAATAAACCACGTGTATTTCAAGGTTAACCCGAATGCTGTTCGTCAAAGCGAGCACCAAACCCAATGGTCGGTTAACGTATGGGCATGTTCATTTAAGGATTTAGATCGGTAAGCTGTTTCATACCAAATTTTTTGAATAACTCAGTATCGAACTGATCTGAATAGTTACATAACTTAATACATCAAAATAATAAACATACCTACACATGGATCATTTAAGTAAATTTTTCATTAGTGGGGAATCGAACCAGATATTTTGTTTACTTAACCTGTGGATTCGAATTAAAGTGGCTAGGTGAAGACTAGTACAGTGACAAAATAGTAGGTTAAGTAGACAAGTTAGAATTTAGACAAGTGTAAATTATTAGGTATTGGTACGATTGCGGGCTGCGGCACATGAGTTGATAGATAATTCCGTTTATAAACTCATGTGGTTGTGGGCCGTGCGGGTTTGGTGTCGCGCGTATAATGATTCTTCTCAGCTAGATTTTTGAACTTAAATAGTTTCACTGCTGGTTTTGTGTTTAGGTATTTTCATGATTTTTTATGAACTTATCGTTTCATTTAGCTGTACTAACATGACAGAGCGTGAATAAAGCTAATTAAACGATTTAAAAATGATTTTTTTATCGGCATCGATTTTATTTTTATCCCATCATCAAAGGCATCCTTAGTACTGTAGTCTGTCTTTGTTTTCGGCTAAAATAAGCCCAAAATTAAAAAAAACAGCGATAAATTAAAAAAAATAAAGTTGCACTCTAGCGAGCTTAGCCAGAATAAAATGAGAATTGAGCCGAAAAGAATAAAGAAGAAATTAAGAGGTAACTTCGTACCTGTATGTTTTTAAAGTCCATTTAAATTTATAATATTTTGAAGTATTTTTATTCTATTTGCATTTTTTATATTTTTTTTAAAGTTATTTATTAAATGTTCTGTATCAAATATAAGATTAAGTTAAAATTATCTATTGGATGTTTCATTCACATTCACATTTACTATTTTTTTGTATTTTTGTTACTATATTTGCGAAAAAACTATAACACAACAATTAATTTTTACGTAATTTGTATACTGTGCATTTACAGCGAGCCCTTAGTCTCTGAATGCTATTGTTATTAACTATAATTAGTGACGTTACATGTCATACACACAGTACTCACTGATCATAAGACAGTAATTGTACCTTATTTTAAAATGTTTATGTGAAAGAAATGAAGGGTCTAAATAACTGCCTTACATAGAGCTGAGAGGTTATTTGCATTCCATTAATATTTATGAATGACCATGTAAAAAATATGTTTTTGATGATTATTTTAAATCTAAATAATGGCACATTAAAAGATCCAGGTGAAGCCGGTGTGGGAGGCTAGTATTTAATATAGTGAATTTTAGCAAAGTAACACCTTCGATTAATGATTGCTTACATTTTACGATAAGTTGTTATTTTTCATTAAAACGCATAAGTTTTATACGTGGTAGAGCCACGATGCAGCTATATTATGGTTGTAGCATGAATGGGTCGGCTCCACCGGGGACGGATCACGCTCTAACAGAATATCAGGTAAAATAGCACCTTAATACTGCTGTGCTTCGTATGGTTAGTTGAAAGAACCGAAGACTCTTTTTTACTGGAAACGAGGCATTCCATCATCAGGCGTCTTAGTTTTCAGGAGTAACAACGTAACTGTGTTTTGATTCTTAATCGAGGATAAATGTAGATGTCTATGGGCCACAGCATCCACTTACCATCAGGAGCACAGTGTGCTCGTTTGTCGCCCTTATTATATTAAAAAGTTTGTACATTATTAATTAAATATTTGAACCGGTGTTAGTTTAGCCAAAATTAAAGTGCCAAACCGTTTGACGTCTATAAAATACAGTTGAGTTATTAGTAAATTCATTCAAATTTATATTTAGAAAGAATTAATACATTAAAGAATTTTCTTAAATTATTTGTACCTACAAACCATGTCTTAATCAACATTTTTTTTTGATTAATAAGCAAAAATTTATACATTTTTTTAAACTGTTCTGTTAAGGGAGGTGGCAGGTCATTCCACCACTTTGTAGTATATAACACTTCCTCTGAATACAGTAGAACTTAATTAAATTGTATCAGAAAATTATGTACATTAATATCCTCATTAACTCAACCAAGCAGTTTTATAATAATGCATATATTAATATTAATGATGATGGTAAGTTTTATCTAAATTGACAAAACAAGGTTATTTAATAGGCAGGTGATTTTTTGCGTTTATTTTCTTTCCATAATACATGTTTTTGTCTTTTATATGTTTTTTAATAATTTTATAATTTTTTTGCTATAACATTTGCCTATTTACTTTTTATGATTGTATGTTTTCATGTAAAAGTTCCTAGAAAGGATAATATTACAAACATATGTATAATTTTTATACGGTTTTTCTTGAAATGTTTATATTATGATCTTTGGTTAATTTATTATGTCTGTTGTCTTGAATTAAAATGTATTCTGAACATGCTAATGGTACATTTTTATTAATAAATAAATAAATAATTCATGCATGAGCAATGAACTAACACTAAAAAAATAACTAATTTCAAGACCATTCCAAGTGTATGCAAAAAACAAAGACATGAACAGAAACTTTTTATCCCATAGAGATTATAAATAATACTTACTGAAAGCCATTATTTTGTTTAATTTACTACTAGTTCGGAAAAAACCTCTTTCGTGAGAGGAACGAGTAAAAACTTGAAAAAAAAAAAACAGCTTACAATCATATGTGTTACATAATTAACAACAGCTTGAAAGCGATCACCTTATTCCTTGAGTTACTATCATCCATGAATTTCTTAATATTATTACAAATCTTTTTTTACAAACTTTTTAGTAACGTTTTTGAACTTTGAGGGGGTCGAATTTTGTATATTTTTTGGGATATTGTTGTAAAAGCGTATACACGGTTCAGAATGAATTACTGACTCGGTGGAGTCGATTATCTAATAATAACTTGTGTCTGTTCCTACTATTTACAGATTAAATATTATTTATTTATTCAAAACTGCTACTATGTATTACAAAGCGAAAGTTAATAAAGTAAAAAAGCGACTCTTCCGTTATTAAGCTATAGACATAGCTGAACTTGTAAACTAGTCTAGCTGTTTGAGCACTGGTAAGATTTTTAATATTTTTACAGCATATGCTGCAGAATTAAGTCTGCTTGCTAGTTTGATATATGAGGGGGCCCTCGAGGGGGTTTGATATATTGAAGGATTTCTGCGAGCTCATATATTTCTAAGCGATAAAATAAAATAACCACAAAGGCTGTAGCGGAAGTGAAGCGCAGCGCTGGTCAAGTATTTCTGGGATGTAAAGAAAAAATAACCAGTAAAGGCTGTGTCGGAACTGCACTAACCTTACACGACCGAAAAGATTTCTGGTTGTTAAGTATGTAATTATCGTTTCATTGTTGTTTGTTAACACAACTTATTATGAGAGTATAGACCATTGAAGAATAAAAATACCATAGAAGTATAATGATGTGACATTAATCTTTGACATGGTCTTATGTCCTTATCCCACTTACACAAAACTATGTTGTAATTATCCAGCTTTCACAGTAATTTCGCATTAGTTTTTTCACGTTTTACTAATTTTTAGGTTATAATTATTTTTATTTTATTTTGTGGAAAACTGTGCATTACCTTTTAATGCGAGTAATATTGTTATAATCCGGACCAAACCTCTACCAAAAAACTTACTCCTCAAAACTCCTGCTAAACGATTCTAAATCCCTCCCTTAGTGTCATTTAGTAAGAAATTATTTTAGGTATTTTCTTTGGATGGTTTTCCCATTAAAGATCTTAGGAACGATATTAAATAACAGAATTAATATATAATAAAAAGTACTCACTCTTCAAATATCCGCTCTTGTACCTTTGTATAGGATCCTATTAATACCAATGTAAACATAAGAACGTCTGCCGTAGTATTATGTCCGACGGCAATCATTGTATTAACTTCCTCTCTTATTTCCGAGTCATTAAAAGCTCCCGTTTCGATCGATAATTCCAAAAGAAGATCTAAGAATGCCTTTAATTTGGTACCTAAAAATTAAATAATATTTAATGGTTTTTTTTTAAGTTTCTTTTATTACATTTAATTTTGGTTTGGGAGGGTATTTAATAAGTAAAGGTCTTAACTTTATTTTAAATATAAAAATCTTATAACATCTTAACTTTATTTTAAATATAAGTTTAGTTTATATAATAATTATATTCTAGGTCATAGGCGCAATAATTGTTAGTATGGTTTATAATTGTTAAAAATACTTTCACCACATTAATATCATAATTAAAGATCAGTTTAGATTTCATAAATATTCTATCAATAACAATCCATTACGTTTTCATATATCGCCATCGTAACAACCAATGGACATACAATTTGTACCCTTATCGTTTTACCCTAAAACTGTTTGTTGTGGATACCGCCACCGAAGTACGCGGTGTAAGTAAGAGAACAAATGAAAGGAAAAGTAATACGTTATGGTGGGATGATGAGGTACGGGTGGAAGTTGAATCAAAGAAGAAAGCATGGTTAGATTTACTAGCAACCAAAGCTGATAATTCTTCTGGTATGAATGATGAGATTGAAAGAAAAAAGGCAGAATTTAGACGTCTAAATAAGAGAGTAAAAGAAGTTGTTGAAAGGAAAAAGAAAGAAAGAACGGATAAGAATGATAGAAGGATATCTGATAATTTCCAGGCTAACATAAAAATGTTCTGGAAACTCGTAAGAACTGCCAGGGGAAATACAAAACAGCCTATAATAAATGCTATAAGAGACGAGAATGGATGTATTCTGAATGATGAAGTTGCGATTTTAAACAGATGGAAGGAATACTTTGAAAGCGTGTTTATGAGTGAAGAGTCGTATGAATTAAATGAACTAGAAATTCCGAAAGAAGTGGAAAGGGGTATGGAGATAAGTGTAGATGAAATAATGAAAGCAATGAAAAGCATGAAAGCAGGTAAGGCAGCTGGATATGATAGAGTATCACTCGAGATGCTAAGGGCTGGAGAGGGAATGGTGGCAGGCCTGCTGTACACCTTGTTTAATTTATGTTGGGAATTAAAACGGGTACCGGATGACTGGTGTAAAGCAGTTATAGTACCAATATATAAAAGAAAAGGGTCACAGCAGGACTGCAAAAACTACCGCGGTATCAGCTTGCTTAGTATTGTGGGTAAACTGTATGCTAAGGTGTTAATTGAAAGAGTTATGAAAGAAACTGATGGAAAAATTTGGGATGTGCAAGCGGGTTTAAGAAAGGGAATGGGGTGTACAGATCAAGTCTTTTCCATGCGCATGATTGCGGAGAAGTTTTTGGCCAAAAACCAGAAAGTTTTTTGTGCGTTCATGGACTTGGAAAAGGCTTATGACAGAGTGGACAGGAATGTGTTATGGCAAACACTGAACTCATATGGGTTGAGCGCTGGTTTGATACAGGCATTAAGGTCTCTTTATAGGGACTCTAGTGCTTGTGTCAGGATAAATGGGGTCTACTCGGACTGGTTTGGCATCCAAAAAGGTTTCAGACAGCGCTGTGTAGCTTCCCCTTGGCTGTTCAACCTATTTATGGACAGGTGTTTGCAAACTTTGAAAGAAAGGTTAAGAATGGGCGAGTTAACCGTCAAATGCCTTTTGTATGCCGATGATCAAGTCATACTTGCGTCATCGGCGGCAGAGTTGCAAATGATGGTTACATAAATGAACTGGGAATTAAAAGAAAGGGGAATGAAAGTGAACGCAAGTAAGACGAAAGTGATGGTTTTTGAAAGAGAAGAAAGCAAAACGGTATGTGAAATAAGAATAGAAGGAGAGTTGATTGAGCAAGTGGATGAGTTTGTGTATTTGGGATGTGTATTTAGCAGGGATGGTAGATATGATAGGGATATAGAACGACGAGTAAATGCAGGGAATAGAGTGAATGGGGCACTACACTCTATTATGAAGAACCAGAATTTATCAAAACAGGCACGTATGGTAATTCATAATGCTGTGTTAGTCCCTACTTTAATGTATGGTAGTGAAAGCTGGGTGTGGCAGAAGAAGCACGAAAGTAAAATAAATGCTGTAGAAATGCGGTCCTTAAGGAATATGCTAGGGTGTAATCTGAATGACAGGGTGAGAAATTGCGTGATAAGAGATAAATGTGGTATACAAGATGATGTTGTGACCAGGATTAAGAAAGGAATGCTTCGGTGGTTTGGTCACGTAGAAAGAATGAATGAAGAAAGAGTGACAAAGCAAATTTATATGGCAGATGTGAATGGCCGAGTCGGGAAGGGACGCCCTAGGAAAAAGTTTATCGACCAAATTGGCGATATTTTGAAAATGGGCCACGTTAGAAGTACCCTTAACCGACGAGCATGTATGCGTAGATATATGGATGTAAAGGAGGCGAAAGAGGTATGTCAGGATCGTGCCAAATGGAAGTCCGTAGTCTCTGCCTACCCCTCTGGGTGACAGGCGTGAGTGTTTATGTAATGTTTGTTGTAAATTGCGCTAAAATCAAGTTTTTGATAATCTGGGCCATCATTTATTTGTACAATATAATATTATAATTAATTTTGATTTGGATTCGACTCTATGCAATTCACTTCTGGCTTACATATACATACAATATTTAGGTTAGAATTAAATCAGGTCTCATACCAGAGTGAAAAGTCGACTCGGTAACAACGCAGCACACGTAATTACAACCTGAAAACTTTACGACAACCCATTCTAATGGAGCTCTTTCAGTAATCCAACTTAGTCTTATAAGGTAGGAAAACTTTAACAACCAGGTTATATTATGGCAATAAAAATTATCAACTAATTTTTCAACATGGGAACGTTTGGTGATGAAAGTATAAATGAGAATGGTGAAAGCCTCTAAACCGTATGTGTGGAAAAGAATATTTTTGTGACGAACACTTTTTTTGTCATAAGAAGATTAACGTGTATATACGGCAAAGAGGTGATAAAAGAAGGATGATAGATTTCATAATTGTGGATGAAAGAATATGGAGCGCATTGGTAGATACAAGAGGGTTTACTGGGGGTCCAACGTAGGGATGGATCATTAATTGGTCTTATGCCAAGTTAATAATCTATTAAGATGTTGGCGGCATTGTACATCTGTGTCTACCACTGCGTTACAGCGTATTCGAATAGAGAGGAAGATACAAGATGAAAGTATAAAAAGCAAGTAAAAATGTAGACTGAAAGAAAATATAAGTGGTTTGAATGAAATGTGAACAAACGAGTTATACTTGGAGAATGTGAGGCATAATATTATGAAATTTTTGGTGGATGCCGCCGAAGTATGCGGTGTTAGTAAAAGAACGAATGAGAGGAAAAATAATACCTTATGATGAGATGATGAGATACGTATAGAAGTTGAAGCAAAGAAGACAGCGTGGCTAGATTGACTAGCAACCAAGGCTGGTAATTCTAACGGTATGAATGATGATATTTAAAGAGAAACGGTCTTTAGACGTCTAAATAAGAGAGTAAAAGAAGTAGTCAAAAAGAAATTGCAAGAATGAATCGATAACAATGATAGAAAAATATCGGACAACTTCCAGAAAAATAATAAAATCTTCTGGAAATTCGTAACAACTGCCAGGGAAAATTGAAAACAGACCGGATTGAATGCTATACGAGATGAGAATGGATGTATTATGAATGATTAAGTTTTGAGTTAAAAGAGATGAAAAGAATATTTTGAAAGCGTGATAATGAGTGTGGAGACGTGTGAATTAAATGACATATTAATTCCGGAAGAGAGGAATGAGATAAGGAGATATCATCATCATCATCATCATTACAGCCCTTCACAAGTCCACTACTGAACATAGGCCTCCACCAAGGTATGCCACAAAGCACTGTACTGAGCCACCTGCATCCATCGACTTCCAGCATGTCTTACCAAGTTGTCACTCCATATAGTGGGGGGTCGCCCTCACCTCGCCTACCGGTACGAGACTGCCACTCGAGAAATGGTTCTTTCGTACCAAATTACTATCTTTAGAAGTTGTTTCTTTGGTTCAGACATGAGGATCAGGAGAATAATGTGGTTTGCAAGATTATTTTGTGACAATTAGGAAAGAAATGCTTCGATGGTTTGGTTATTTAAAAAAATGCATGAGAAAAAAGTGATAAAATAAATTTATGTTACAGAAGTAAGCGGAAGAGCCAAAATGCGACATCCTAGGTGAAATTTTATCAACCAAATTTGCTATATATTGAAAATGGACCAAATTAGGGGTACCTTTAACCGACGAGCACTTATACGTAATTATATGGATGTGTAGGAGGCGAGAAAGGTTTGTCAGAATCATGGAAAATGGAAGTGTGTATTCCCTGCCTACCCCTCTGGGTGACAGTCGTGAGTGTTTTTATACATTATTTATGTTGTAACATCAATGAGTCATTTAAGGAGTCGCGCGAAGATTTTGCAACTTTCAACGTCCGTGCTAGGTCAGGTTTCTAGGAGGCTGTTGCACTATAACCCACATCTATATAATGGGATATACTACACAAAAGACAAATAAGTATATGGTGGGAGTCATTACTTTGTTGTGTACTATGTAGTGGCGGTGTAAGTATATCCTCTGCCCTATATCCTCTTGTTGATATCATAAGTGGCGATAGAAGGAAAAAATAGATGTTGGGCAGCAGCACCTTCTTAATAACAACTACTAAATAATAACTGCGATTACTAACCCAGCTGCCAAGTGGTACAACAATGGCGAGTATTCTCCTATGAGGCAATCTATAAGGATCGGCGATGTACAGAATTGGATAATTGATAGGTTGTAACGATAAATGTCTATAATTTGCTTCTGTGCACTTCGACTCCATAGATACTTACGGTCTCAGCGGTGCCAGAATAAATGAAGGTACACCAAGATGTTGCGACATATCCCGCAAAAGCAAGTTTGATGTCTATTCAAATATTGAGTGGTCTAACAAAAACTATGCCGTAGTAAAGTGAAGGGGATATTATATACCTGAAACTGTTCTTAAATGTAAACACAGTTTAATGGTTCTTTCGTACCAAATTACTATCTTTAGAAGTTGTTTCTTTGGTATATCCACCTTCCATAGATAGTGTAATTAAGTAAGAACAATTTTGAGAATAGAGTAGGTAGACGTATTTGGGCTAGGCAATATTTGAAAAGCATTGCTAAGCCTTTCATTCTAAATACTAAAATCTTCAATAAGGGAGTCACGTAGTAAAAACCGTACTGAGGCCAATGTTATATAGACACATCGTGGCTAGATAAAACTGTTATTTATATAAAGTAGTTGGCAGAAACTGAAATTATAAATATAAAAATCGATGAATACACCAAGCATACTATAATGGCGATTGTTAACTTAAGTGTCATTCGAGTAACTATGAATTGGCGTTAACACACTGGCACAAAATCCTGCACATATATAATTAAAAATAATTGACTAATTTCTTTTCACCCTCTCAGCACTTCTTAGTTTTTTCTTAATATAAGTTATTTTGTATTCAGTACCATTATAATATAATAAGCTACACATTACGGTAATTGTTGTGTATACCTGTAATTGGCAAACATATTTAACCTTAAACACTTGTTATGGTGTTGATGTTAATGTTTCGTGTGTTTTGCTATTGGTATACCTTATAAATAAATAAATAAATAAATATAATAATCTATCTTTAAAGATGTTTAATAAATAAATGTGTTTTTACAGTTTTAACAAGCCACAATAATTTTACTATTTTTATTTAATAAATACACATACCTTTTGATGCTTCTACTTCGTTCTTCTTATTATTTAAGTGCGCAGCCTTACGTGCCTGCAATACCTGATCATAAAATTTAAAGATTGTAAAATAACTGCTTAAATTTCAATACTTCTATTCTATTTCTGACACTTTTTTAAAATTTTGTAAAACTGACGTAACGGTTTTTATACCCTTTATTGTCAGGGAGAGGACTCTACTTATATCTGAAAGAGCAATGCACCTGGAAATCCCCGCAATTCCGTTTGGAAGACTCCGCAATATTTTATCAAAACATTTTATATCTGTCATGCAAAAATCCTTCACCGGCGAGCACGTGGTAAAGTAAACAACAATTAACAATTTCATAGACACAAAAAGAAATTAGATTCTGATTGCACAAGCCAATTTTAGGAAACTCTTTATTTTCACAAACTTTACTAATAATTACGATAAAAACACATAACAAGATATACAAATTTACCTTATCACACATATTGTGCAATATTCTTAAACATTGGTCATCCTTCTTCTTTAAAGTAGAAAAACTGTAGATAAAGTCATTGTGCAACCATAACTTTTGAAATCTTTCAGTTAGACTGTTTAACATCTGCCCCATCGCTTGCTCGTATTGACTAAAAAGAACGCTGTCTTTGCTGAAATCTACTCCCATGGTAGTTACTGTAACAAATATATTTGATCATTTTAAGTATCCTACATCAACAACTTGGCATGAATAAAGTCTCTGCAAGATGGGTTCCGAGAATGCTTTCTGCGTATCAAAAACACAAGCATGTCGAAAGTTGTTGCGAGTTTTTGGGCCACTGTAGAAAGTACAGCGAGGAAGTTATGGTCCAAATTGTCTGACTATGAAATTTAGGTCCATAAATTTAGGTTCATAATAATGAACCTGAGTTAAAGCAAGTGTCGATGTAGTGACATAAAAAATGCACACCCCCTTCTAATTAGTATAAGGTTTCAATCGGTTGGAAAGATTATGGCAGCGATCTTTTGGGATACAGAAGGTATCCTTTTGATTAATTATAAGGAACTTGGTATTATCATAACAAGAGAAAACTAAGCTTTTTTAATAGGTAAATTAAAAGAAACTTGTATAGAAAAAAGGCGAGGAAAGCTTACAAAAGACGTGCTCTTTTTGAACGACAATTTGCCCGTGCACACAAGCCATGGTGACGGTTGCCATTCACCGATGCGGTTTTGAACAACTGCGCCATCCACTCTACAGCCCAGACCTGACCCCAAGTGACTATTATTTGTTTCCAAAAATGAAGAAAAACTGCATGGGAAAAAAATTGGTGACGTTGATGAAGTGAAGTCGACAATTTTGAAACCGTATAGTGGTGGTTTAAGGATATTCACTACCCTAAAGTTCCGTGTGTGTTCAAGAGGCAATAGAGGCAGATCCTCTTTCTAATAACAGATAGAAAATTAAAAAGACTGCGGTTGGTAACATGACTACCAAGCGTGATATTTATGGCATATAACCCACTTAAGAGGCAATCTTTGAGGCTTCCATTGTTGTAGAAATTATTGCACGGGAGCATACAACAAGCCAAGTGGATTTTTAGTGGATATTGGAGACAAAAAACAATTACATCTTAAATAGCTACACTGTCCTATTTATCAATGTAGATTAATAATGTAGATTGGCGATCTATCTAGACTATATCTATTGTCTTTCATGCTGGTCTGGATATATATTTTGATTATATGTAAGATAGTTTACCGCTATATACAGTATGTAACAAAAACCCATTGGTCGTTTCAGTGGCATATAGGTGTACACATATACATGGCAATTTTGATAATAAAAATTTTTTGGTTGCTTTAAATGAGGTTTTAAAGTTTCTAATCTGATAACTTACTAAATTTAGTACTAACTACTAAATTTAATATTTCTTAAATTTTTATTATGAACTGACGGACACGTGCCGACATATTGTCTACGACCGCTTTGAGGTATTGGATTGCTGCCTCAAAGCAAGCTGCTGTGCGGTGCGTGCTTCCCCGAGGTTTTTGTATAAATCGTTATACCTATACAGACAGAGTTATTCTCCGAAAATTTAAATTTAAAAATGGTATACATTATAATGCAATATATTTTTAATGATGTGCTAGCAGTTTATGAATATTCCGTTTTCTTTCTTGAATACATAATAATATTTAATACGTTAATATTTATTTTATTATGAAATCTTACAAATATCAATTTACAAAGTTACTTAACGAGAACGATTCTTAGATCCGCTAAGTATGTTCTCTATGTTTTGATGAGATCTAACACTTTCTGAAATTACGTTCATTACAATCTATCAAAGTCAACTACTGAACATCACTGAACATGCTGACTTCCCTACGGATAATCCCACAGGGGGAACCCCACTTGCCTTGTAATATTTTCTACATTTGGAAGGCGGGTTGACAACCGCAGTTTTTTTACATTGAATCTAGTTGTTGTTAAGATGCTGTAAAATGCCAAATCCACGGGACGGTTTTGGTTGTCGGATATTTTTCAACCCAAATACACATTAAATTTGAATACTTATTTTGATCCAATATCTATTCTTTATTCTGTGCTAATATTTAGTAGAAATGTTTAAAAACATAAGAAGTTTTATAAACAAAAAAAAAATGTCACAATTCAGTAGTTACTAATAGAAATAAAAAAGTATTTATCCCATTTTTTTTAATTTTTTTGTCATTGTAGTAATTTAATGTGTTTTTACTAATCCTAGCTATAATTTAATTTCTTAATAACACTTACAGGCTCTGCCCTATATTTAAACTATCATAATATAACAACTAAAGCAACATATATCAACTGTTATTAAAAATTACATCAAAATCACGAAAAATTTCCTTGGTTCAGAAAATATCAAAATTATGTTGTTGAGTACAGTCGCTTTGTCGCGACAACAAACAAACACCAGTAGCGCTGATATTAATAGCTGTTATTAACCAGGTAAATTACTTACAGAAGGATCTGTTTTCTATAATGCGAAATTATTTATCAGCCTTGAGTGACTTTTGTGTGATGGTTCACTCAAACTAGGAATATTTTAATATGTTGGTGTGTCTCGGGAAATGTGAATGCAATTATGTAGAAGCATAAATACTTTACGAGGAACGTTTTGCTACTCCACGAAATATACAATTACCGTCGCCGATGACGATCCAACGACTTCACATTCGTATGTAAAATACTCGCGGTGTGCATGGCCGCGATCAACAACCTACAGATTCAGGAAGATCAAGGATGTATGATGACGACATTGAGGAGGAAAATCTCGACATTTTTGGGGAAGATCTGACGCGGATCACGCGCTTGGTGGCACTTGAGCTAGATGTGAACCACATGCGCATTTAAAAAGCCCTCATGGATGATGGCCAGCACCCGTATCATTATCAGGTATATTCAGGGTTTTCTTTTCAACGTATATGAACCGAGAAAGAATTTCTGTGAATGGATAAAATTGAAGGAGATTCTGAGTTTTGAACTGCGTACTTTTCACGGATGTATGCTCCTTTGTTATCATTTTTTTGTATAATGTATTTAACGCTCATAGAGAATACTGTTGCGCGAATAAGTCGATGTCATGTATCTGGCACTAGCGCCATCTAGTGTCAGGGACGAGAGCGAGGGGAGATTTCCAGAAAATGACATCCCTAAACTTTCAAACGACAGCGCCATCTAGTCTCGGAACGAAGAAGTAAGCTTCTAGAAGTCGACACTTCAATTCTCGGCCCCTTGTGCGTGTTTACTTAAATATTCTGGATGTTTCGGTGCTAATTTGTATTTATAGGCACTGCAAGATGCGATCGGAGAAGTATTGAATTTGGCGATATAAGCGACGCTTCGGAGCGATATAAAGTGAATCAGTGTGATTAATTATTAGTGTTTTAAGTATAATTAGTGTAAAGTGAATTAAAGAGTTAATTTTGGTAATTCTATCGGCAATTTTTATTGTCACGAACCTCAAGTTCGTAACAATACGTATTGTCAACAACTAATGCGCATTCTTATAAATCAAGCCACTTTCAACACCGATGGACAATCAATGTGTGGGCGGGAATTATAGGTGACAAAGCTATTGGTCCGTATTTTCTTGACTACTCAATGAGCGGTGAAATCTACGGACGCTTTTTGCGATAAAAACTAAGCGATGAGCTTGACAAAATAAATCTAGAGCTCGTTTATCGCAGGTGGTATCAACACGATGGCACATCACCGCATTTCTCCCGTTATTTAAGAAAGTTTTTGGATACTGAATTCGGTGAAAGATGGATTGGCCGTGTTGGACCGGTCAACTGGCCGGCGCGATTACCTTATCCTACACCTTTAGATTTTTATCTCGGGGGTACGATTAAGCAGATTGTATTCCAAAAAAGTTAAATCCATGCGGATATTCATCCGAAATATCTGTGCAACAATCTGTGTAAGCCGGTGTCGCAAATGTATAGAGGTTCAGGGTGGATATACATATTGAACAACATTTTCGTGGTCATCAAGTAGACAGTAATGAATTATTGTTTGCCAATAACTACCACAATCGATCGAAATAAAATTTTAAAAGTTGTGATAATCGACTGCCAAAGTAATAACAGCTGAGTGATGTAACGAGATCTCGACCATATCGCTGCGACCGAATCTGGTCGCTTGGTAGCTAAGAGCACTAACCTCTCTACCAAGCGGCCGGAGTGGTAGCGGCAGGTAGTGTAGGTATGACGCGCGTGCACGCTTCATCTTTAATGTCATTGATTTATATATTACACTAGATCAGTAATAACCGCGCCAAAGCGTTGCCACTGCACATATGGCCACAGCCATATTCCTAGCTAACGTCAGTTCAGTGTTCAATGTAACGCCGACGGAGTTGAGTCGCGACAAAAAATGGGTAAATGCGTAGTGAAAGAATACTATTCAAGGTCACAAAAACGTAATAAATCAAGCGGAATCACTTTCAACACATAATTTTTAGTTCCTGTTTTCATATAAACGAAAAAAAAACCTTAAATAACTAAATAAAATTATCGAATATTGCCATTTGCTTCAATTTTTTGCCAATTAGGTTCAATGTTGCCACTTTTCCGCATTTGTGATTATCCTATATTAATGGGAGACTATATAATTAATAGAGTAAGTTAATTTGTTACCTCTGATTTTAAATATTTTGGAAATTATAATAAAAACTACGTTTTAATTTTCATACAAGATAATTAATTATTCTTATTTTAGTTTAATCATCAATTATCTATTAAATATATTTTATTACCTACTTATTTAATATTAACAATTTTATATTAATTATAATCTTAATATATATAAATTACGTGTCAAGTTGTTTGTCCGCGATGGACTTCTAAATTACTAACCGATTTTAATCAAATTCGCACACCGTGTACAGATTGGTCCAACTTGATAGATAGGATAGTTTTTATGCCCCTGAGTGACCCATAATTTTTTTTGCGAATTTAAGGATGTTTATTACGACATGACAAAGGCTCGTCGAAAAGGGCAGAACAGCGTCTGCCTGGCAAGCTAGTTTCATATAAATTTTATATTAATTATATTTTGTTACCTATTTTATATTGTTTGATTTATTAGTGCAATAAAATACTTATAAAAATGTATTTAATTCATCATTATGTTTACTTCTATTCATCTGATAAGCTTTGTATCTTTTTTTCTAAGGGGACGCAATAAAGATTTTAAAATAAAATATACTTTTTTAATATAAAAACAATTAACTGCAGCTTATAAAAACTAATTTTTATTGCGTATTTTAGGTAAAATTTCATATAGTAAGCCACACCAACCTGCCATTGCATGTTTGTGTGTCTATCTTTATCTAATCTTAGCGACGATATTGTTTTCGCAACTTGTGTAAGTGAGATAGATATATGTTTATTTAAAATTGTTATTAGTTTCAAAGCTAAGTTGTCGCGTTTGGATAGTGGTTACACTTTTTCGCCGCGCGGTAATGTGGTTTGCTCCTCTAGTGTTGTATAACTCAATGTTTAATGTACGTCTACGCCGGTCGCGGCCAGCCGTTGCTGTTTGCCGTTTCCTTCTTGAAATTTCAGACAGAGGTAATCAATCATCATAAAATTTACGAATATAATTTAAATAATTTTAAATTTTGTTATTTTTATGTTGAATTTCCTGAAGTAAACCACAGGGTTTTTGTTACATATTGTAACTTTATTATAGAATAGGGTGACTTATGAGCACACAGTCCACGTGATAGACATCTTCATCTATCCTCCATTATGAATCACCCGTGAGGACTAAGATGGAATGCCTCGTTTCCAGTAATAAGAGTCTCCGGTTCTCTACACACACCATACGAAACACAGCAGCATTAAGCTACTATTTTACGCTGGTATTCTGTGGTGTCGAGACGACCCATTCGTGCCACAACGACACTTCTAATATAAATGCAGCATGACTCTACCCAGTATAATGTTAAGATAAATTATAAATAGAAATATACTTACAACAAACTGTTTCCAGCGCATTACGTCTTAGGTAAACTAAATGGTCGAATGGGCCCTTTCCAACCTGTAGTGATTACAATCAAAACATAATAAAGTTTTATGTAGTAAAAATAAAAGATAAATAAGTCATTGCCGTTGATTAATTTAGTAAAATTTACGGAAATTTTTAAGCAATACATAAAATATTTTAGTTAATAGCATAAGGTTGAAAACTATCTACCTAAGAAAATATTTTTATACAAGATATAGGACTTGTTAAAATATGTCACTCTATTGGGAAATAATAATAACTAAGAGTGCTTCATTAGTAGTAGTTTGTTATGAGCTAAAAATAAAAAATAACTTCAAAAGTGACACAGGTGAAAAAGTAAAAATTAATTTGTCTCATAAGTTGTTAATTATGATATTTGGTGTCGATTATGGTCTGATACAGCAATCATTTTAATGAGTAATATTAAGAAGTGTAAAGGTAATGCATCTATTTTGAAACATATATATACATATGCGAAAGAGACTGATATCACGTACGCAATGTATGCGATGCCACGCTTCCCTGTTGGTGTATACACTTTGCCTACGCATGCAACGTATGTGTTATTTCCGGAATATTCACAAAATTATGTTTAACTTAACATAATTATCAATGATAGAAATACAAAATTCCTTTTTTTTAATTTTGCGCCTCAACCTTGCTTTACTTTAACTCATTAAGTTACCATTTATTTATTCCCATACTGTATACAGTGATAAAGCCACGGGGCAGTTTTGCTGTTGCACGTATGGGACGGCTCGAACCGGGAGAACACCACGAGCTCACAGAAGACCAGCGTGAAGTAGAAGCTCTGCTTTTGCATTCCGTCTGGTGAGTGCAAGTGGCCGGAGGCTCAATTACAAAAACCTCCTTAACATGGTAGCGGAGTTAAATAGAATACTAATCCAGGAAGGTACCAGCAACCCTGGTGATGGAGAATCCCTCGCCCTGGCCTCCCATGCCCTGGGCTTGAGTTTGCTTGTACGTCAGAGAAGACATCTGTTCTCTACGCCTCGGCAATCTTGAAGTTATGGACCTATCCATCCTATGGTTGCGCATAGAAAACGACGACCATCTCTGCATCTACGGGTGCCTATATAGGCCTATAGCAGTAATTCCGACACAGAATGACTCGTTAACCACGTCCAAATAGCTGCAGATCTCGTGCTACAACAGGTCCTATCAGCAGATATCACGATGCTTGAATATTTTAACGCCCATCACGTTGAATGGCTTGGTCTCCGTTTAACCAATCATGCGGGTGGATTTGTTTATGACTTTTTGAATTGGCGTATGGCCTGACACAACTGGTTACCTCGTCTACGCTGATCTCAGATATAGAAGATCATGTACTTTCCCTGTTGGACCTGCTACTGACTTCTCATCCAGATGGATATCAGGTCCCCTTGGATACCCATCTTGCCTCGTCGTGTCACTGTTTGATCCGGAGTACGGTGCCACTCATACTCCCATCGCGGTGGCGTCTTGCAGGTTACCGCCGTACTTGGCACTGTAGATCAGTGGATTGCGATGGTATGCGATATTTTTTTGTATCCTACCTTTGGTTGATATCAGCGTTGTACCTGATTCTGTCGCTGATGTGGCACTACATTGAACGGGCATTTTTATTCCATCGGTTGAGGTAACTATCGGAGGCAGAAACCATCCATGGTTTAGTCGCTCTTACTGGGCCTGGACTGAAATATCGACGTCTCGGGATGCAAATGTCAGTGCTTCTAAAATGAAGTATAAATTCATCTCTAGGTTATTGCAAACAAGGCAAAGTCAGAGCAAATCGGTCAAAAGCGTCATTGCAAAATAGGCAAAGTCGGAGCACATCGGCGCATCAGAATCGGCGAGAAACTAGTACGACTTCCTTCGGGAACACGTGCGTTCTAGTCTCTCGCCAAGGTTGTCCAAGGTAACTTCTGTCAGCCATTTCTCCAATCTCTGCACAGTGAGGATGAATCCGTATGCCGTAACGAGAAAAGTCAATCTTCTGGGCTCTTTCTTTGCGTCCAACTCGACTCTTGACGTGGGAACACACCGTCAACCCTCCCGCGGTATGAGTGCTTAAGGATAAGCAGGAAGCAAGATAAGCTGCTTACCTAGCGCTCGGTGCGCAGAAAACTCCTCTCTCTGGACGTCAAAAAAACAATTGAGGACGTCCCTCCTATTGTGCCGAAGACTTGAGTTCTGGATATGGCACCTATTTTACCGCGTTTTTTACGATACTCCTACTCCATAGACGTAGTCCCAAACTCATAAAAGACTGCTTTATGCACCCAATCCCTAAAAAGGCGACCTTCTTGTACTCCAAAATAAAGGAAACAATTATTAACTGCTGACTTATGAGGTACTTTGAGGATCATCAGCTGATTGTTGACCGCCGGTACGGATTCCGTAAGGGTCGCTCAGCCGATGCTCTTTTGGGTTACTTTATTCATAAATAAGGGAGAGGCCTTATCCACTCAAACTTTCTAGTCTAGTTCAAACCCCAAAAGATAGAAATTTGCGCGTTTACCGCTACAAAGAACCACTTCCTCTTATTTCCTCAATTTCAAGGAACTCCTCTTGTTGCCTAAACCTGTATCGGAATCCTCGGCGTTGACATACCGAGTGATGTGCAGTTTGGTGGTCACTTGGAAGAGATTAAAAAATTGGCCTCTTAGTAGCTTGGCTTACTCAGAAGGGCGGGACAGTATTTCATACCAGCACACCACCTGCAACTGTATAAGGCGAAAGTTCAGCCGCACATGGAATACTGTTCCCATATCTGGGCTTAGACTTCCCTGTACCAGCTCCAGAGCCATTAAAATCGACGGCGATCATGCTCTTTCCGATCAGCTTGACTTACTGGCACTACGAAGAGATTATGTATCACTGAATATTTTGTCGCATTTACCACATGGAGTGGTCTACGGAATTATTTGGATTAATTATAACTGCAAAATTTGAACATCTCACATCACTACAAATCTCGAGATACCTACCATTTATCTTTTCTCTTGGACTCCGTTCAGTGTGGTCGTATTTCATTTTAAGTTGATTGAACAAAAATCATTTAAAATTAAAATTCATTTAATTTTATGCTAAATAATAGGAATGCAGTAATCTTTTGGAGGTGATGAGATACCAGAAAGAGCGTGGTGAGCGAAATAAACATACTTGTTAGCGCTTCAATTGCTAATTACCGCACTGTCATTGGCTTCCGTAAGCGACGCCTTCTTGCGCTGGAGCACTGCTTGCAGAGGCACGTCAACTCTGCATTGCACATCTCAACTTAATATTCATCTGTCTCTCTCATCAAGTTGCCGATGGAAAGTTTTCACCGTGCTTGAATTTAGGCCTACTCGCTATTCTTTTATACATACACCTAGTTGATTTAAGCTTTACTCAACATTTTCATTACAAAAATTGCATTATGCCGCTTAAATGTACATCGCCGAAGACTCCTCTTTCAAATGAAACTAGTAGTTCTACGCTAGAAGTCCCTGCTACGTAAAAAGCGGAACAAACAAACTTAGAGACAAACATGTCTAATTTCGATATGGTTGTCTCTAAGTTGCTGTCTAGATTGATATGATGGCATCAGCGACCTTTCTCGGTATTGTGATTGATTACGAACTCACATGGTAGAATCACGTTGAAACAGTATGCCAGAGGATTAACAAGTTTGTGTTCAATCTGTATCGTCTGTCATAATTAGATTTTTTTATAGAAGAGGGGGTAAAAGAGCATGCAGCTCACACGATGCTAAGTGACTACCGCCGCCCATGATCAACCGAAACACCAAGGGAATTGCAGGTGCGTTGCCGGCCCTTTAGAAAGGAGTAAGCTGTTTTCTTGAAGTTCTAAGGTCATATCAGTCCGGAAAAATCACCGGTGGTAAACAGGAGGTAGTACGCGGAAGAAAACTACTTTTGAAACTTGCAGTGGTGGACCGCCAAGCATCCAGATGGTGTGGATGGTATCAGGACGTTTACTTCGTAGTGGGTTCACGAAATTTGGCGGTTGGGATTAATCCGAACAATTCCTCAGAGCACTCCCCATGGTATATGCGAAAGAAAATGCACAGAGATGCATCTTCTCTTCCCAGCGTCAGTGAATCGAGCCGATCGGAAAGCACTCGGTCGTCGACGATTTGGGCGGCTCTGCGCTGGATGCGGTCAAGTGGAAGGAGCTAGTACTGGAGAGCTCCAGCCCAGAGATGGGATCAGTATTCCATGTGCGGCCGAACCTGCGCCTTGTAAAGTTGCAGGCGGTGTGCCGGCATGAAATACTGTCCGGCTCTGCTGAGCACGCCAAGCTTTTTAGAGGCCAGTTTGTCCTTCTCTTCCAAGTGACCACGAAACTGCACGTCACTCGATATGTCAACGCCGAGGATTCTGATACTGGCTGAGGCAACAAGAGGAGTGCCGTGAAACTGAGGAGATACGACAAAGGGGTTCTTTTTAGCGGTTAACACGCAAACTTGTGTCTTCCGGGGGTTAAACTGGACTAGATTTAATCACCCCCAATCCGAGACTCTGTTCAGAAAAGACTCGACTTCAGACACAAGTTTGTGCCAGTAATTGGAGACGTTTTCCCGAAAAATATTGGTACGGCCGGTGTAAAGAGCATCATCAGTGCTGTCGTCTGCATAGCAATGAATGTTACGGGTTTGCAACATATTGATATGCAGAAGAAACAGCGTTGGCGATAGCACGCAGCCTTGTGGAACGCCAGCATTAATAGGCTTGTAATCAGAGCCTGCACCGTCTACACCGACCTTGATGCTCCAATCTGCAAGAATGCTGGTGATCCAATCGCACTATTTCTGGGGAAGCCCATAGGAAGGGAGCTTCGAAGGAAGCGCTTTGTGCCAAACCCGATCGAGGGCCTTCGCAATGTCCAAACTAACGGCCAATGCCTCCCCCTTGGACTCTACTCTCTCCACCCATCTGTGAGTTAGGTAGACCAGAAGATCACCAGCGGTGAAAACCGTATTGGCGATCAATAATCCTCATTAGCTGGCGGTTAACAGTAGACTCCATTGTTTTGGAGAACAAGGAGGTGATGGCGATAGCCGGTAGTTGGACGGGTCTGAGCAGTCGCCTTTTTTAGGGATCGGATGGACGAAAGCCGTCTTCCATGATTTTGGGACTACGTCTAGGGAATAGGAGTACCGGAACAGACGCGTTAAACCCGGTGCCAACTCTGGAGCACACGTCCTCAGCACGATTGTGGGGATTCCTTCAGGCCCACTCGACTTGTGGATGTCCAGGGAGAGGAGTGCTTTGCGACCGAGTGCTGTGTAAACTGCACTTCCGGCATGGAACAATCACACCGCGGCAATGGTCGGCAGCGTACTCCTCCCGTCATCGATAACCTTAAGGCAGCTCTGATGGAATACCATAGTTATGTTGGTTCTGTACTGAGGTATGGACTGATTCTGTGGAGAAATTCGACACATATTTCTCGTGTTTTATACTACAGAAGATATGTATACGATTAAAATCTCTCTCTCTCTCTCTCTCTCTCTCTTTCTCTCATATATATATATGAGATTTTAATATTGACCAAAAAAATATTTTCCTCTTAACAAAACAGCGTAATGATCGTAGTGGTAACAAAACGGTACCTGTGCCGCAGGCTGCTACAACTCGTTTTGCTAGAAAAAGTCAAAGCATGTGTATTTAATTTACTTCCGAACCCTACAAAAAAAATTGACAATCTTTAAAAATATTATTTTCGGGATTCGGATTGAAAATTGCTTTTATGATATAAATGAATTAATCAAATTCCGCCGTGACCGTCATCTCAAGCGAATTGTTGATGATGTTTGAAATTTTAAATTGACAAATGAATAATGCTATAGCTAAGTTAGTCAATTGGTTTAATGTTAATAATTTGCTTTTGAATGGAACTAAAACTAAATGTAGGAAATTTGTAACTCCTAATGTTAAACATGTCAATACTAATGTAATTTTAAATGGGGAAGAACTGAGTTTTGTTGATACCAACATTTTTCTTGGAATCACACTGGACGCAAAGCTTCAATGGCTCCGCCATATATCAAAACCAGCTAGCAGACTTAGTCCTGCAGCATATTTTGTAAAAAAGATTAGAACTCTTACCAGTGTTGAAACAGGTAGAATAGTTTAATTTAGTTATTTCCATAGCATTATTTCGTATGGTATTTTGCTATGGGGACACGCGACTGGCACTGAAAATATATTTATTTTACAGAAGAGGGCCATTAGGGCAATATATAATTTAAAACCAAGAGAATCACTGAGACAAAAATTTAAGAAAATTAATATATTAACACTAGCCTCTCAATAAATTTATGAAAATGTAATATACGTACACAAAAATAAAAGTGGTTTTGCGAAAATAGGTGATATTCATTCTGTAGATACTAGGAACAGACACAAGCTAGTAGTGTCAGTTACTCGACTCCACCGAGTCAGTAATTCATTCTTGGGGCGATGTATACGCTTTTACAACAAAATCCCAGAAAATATACAAAATTTGTCATACACAAAGTACAAAAATGTTATTAAACTAAGTTTGTGTAAAATGGGTTATTATAATATTAAGAAATTAATGGATGATAATAACCCCTGGGAAGGGTGATCGCTACCAAGCTGTTTCTAATGTGTCTTGTGTTGTTAATTGTAAACATGATTGTAAGCTATTATTGAAAAAAAAAGTCCCGTTGGGTTTCTTGCTGGTTATTCCCAGAACAGAGGTTTTTTTGCGAATGGGTAGTAAATGAAAAAAGTGACTTTCAATAAGTATTGTTTTAATCTACATTGAATAAAAAAGTTTCTGTTTCTGTTTCAATTAGAAATTGTAAGGTAGACATTATACTAGTTTTACATTATGCATTATGACATGACCATGCCTGTATATTTTTTCTTTTTTTTCAACATCCTATATTTATTGATATTATACTGTTTTATTTAATTTAAATATGAAATGTTATTGTAATTGTCTAATTTTAATTATTCAATTGCATGTCATCGTAATATTTTCATACCGATAAATCGGTAATCTATTAATGTTCACATTGTTATAAGATATGGTACATTTTACGCAAATATATATCTTATTATTATTATTTATTATAATAAAAAAAACAAATTGCTGAAATGGCGGAAATTGAATCGCCGCAATGAATGATAGTTACTGATAAAAGATATTTAACACAAAGCCGGGATGGATGTTTTGACTACTATTAATATGTAAATAAGAATCAAGGTCTAAAAAATTTCAACAATTTTTCGGTGGCATCGTAGCTAAGATGTAGTAATCAACCATTTATAAATATTTTTTATTCCTGATTAATTGATTTTTTTTAATATTACAATGCATGATGTATTATAATATTAAAAAAAAGTATTATAAACATGGGACATTACAACAGGCCAATACGACGAGTGAAGTTCGAATTCTCGGGTCTCTCGGATTTGTTAATGTCATGTATTAGCAAAGTACTAATATATTATAAGAAAAATAATAGTTTTAACAGAAATTACCCCAAGTAATTGGTAAAAATGGTACAAAACTTTGTATTTGTTTTTATTTTGGAAAAAGAAATATCATTGCTAAAGAAAAGTGTAAAAAAAAACTAAATAAAATAGTAAGTAATAACTGATAGGCTAAGAGTGACTGGGAAAATTTCGGTGTGTATAACTTACAGTAATAATTGAACTTTGTTTTTATTTGTCATTTTATTTTTTTGAAAAGGGAAAATATATTGATCATAAATAAATACTTACTACATATTAAAATATCAAAACCGACCAACTGCCGTCCAAGTTAAATTATTTTCAATTTACTTTTTATACTAGTAATCGAAATAAGTAAACTTATAACTACGTCAAAAGTTTAACTCCTCTTATTAATTGTGTACTTTCATTACATGAATGCAATATAAAGCTGGTGGAAGTGATGTAAGTTGAGTATATCTCGATTTTTGATGTGGTGACTGTGGTTCTTTGACTGTAACTTATTTACAGCCCATAAATGGAACATTATTTTAGCTACTAGTGAACGGACTTTTTAAGTTTATGTATAATCCGTAAGTGCAGCTGCTTAATGATATTAATATTGTTATACTACCTTCACTTCTAAATCCTTAACAAGTCGTCTGGATTGGCTGTTAAAAACCCCCTGAAATCCATCCAACACCCGCTGAGAAAAGGCTGGATTTAACAGTATTCGATGACGCTTCCATATTGATACTGCAAAAATATATTTAACAAATAAACTATACACCTTTCCACTGCTTTAAAAAAAATTTGTAATCCTTATTTTTTATATAATAGGGTGACAAACGAGCACACAGTCTACCTGAAGATAAGTGGATGCTATGGCCTGTAGACATCTACATCTATCCTCGTTTTTAAGAATCAAAATCCAGATGCGTTGCTACTCCTGAGAACTCCTTATCTCAATTTTCGTTTGAATATTATCCTTAAGTAAAACTAATAATACTATCAGTAAAAGATGTATTCTTATTTAAAAAAATTACGTACCTTTTCCGGTTAACAGACCATCCCCTAGCCACGGTTTAGCAAATTCATACATAAAGTCCTTCTGTAGGCAAGCGTTAGCGACAGTCAAGCTGTCTTCGGGATCTGTTACCACTGGAAACGAATTAAGGTTAAATGTTAAGGAACACAACATCTTATAATAAATTTACAATACCTTATGATGAACAAAATACCGTATAGTGTCCGAGGTCCAATTGACGCTGTTATTACACCACCCAGTCTTAAGGTATTATGTGACACTTCCCTCATAGTATTCCATAAACCTACGAAATAGAAAAAAATGCTTTAAAAGTAAACGATCTTTTAAGTTTAAGGTCTTTATTTGGCCTATAATTAAGGTAAACAATGAATGGACACGTCGTTGGTCGGTGGAAATAGGGGCGTAAGATACTGGTGAGTTGGATCGCTTATAACGTCAGGGGTTTTCCGTAGAGGGCCGTAACCACCTTTTGTAAGTCCAGAGAAGACTCCTGTTTGGGATTATCCAAAATCATAAATCAATAAAAGAGATTGATCTGGTAAAGGTCTTTATAACGCGAGAGCCAAAGATACAATAGTGACTAATAAAATTACAATAAAAGTACAGTACATACAAAAAATGTCATTATTAAAAACTATAATTATCAATCTTATTGCATTTTAGTTGCTTATAAAATTCACAAGGAGTCAACAAGCCCCCGGGCGTTGACAGCGCGTATTCCAAACAGAAGGCACAGGGATCGGACAAATCTTGCTGAACGATCTTCGAATTAGTTACACGTAGTCAACTAATGTTGTCAGGTTCAGAATAAACAGTAACGACTCGGTAAACCAACCAACTTCCATTTCAATAGAAGGAGATTGTCTTCTTTCATGACAGCCAAAAAATTCAATTACAAGTCATCATTGCTGACAGAACTTATGTGTTGTGGAGTTCAGAAACCTACACTTTACACCACCTAGTTCAAAAATGTTGGCGGAGTTGCTCAATCCATTGAAAGCGGGTTAAAGTATTAGTTTCATTACTTCTACAATCTCAGTCTGGTAAAAGCGTGAGCGTTAGCCCGATCAAAAAGTGATCTGGTGTTAGTGGCATTAGGTAAATATTCTGAGTCGGATGACAATGGTTTGAGGGGCCGAAAGTTCAATATTGCTTCAATTTGCACCAGCGTAGTATTCGACTCCTCGTAAGTGAGATTACAATATCCCAGCACTCTTTGTAAAGGCGAAGGGAAGGCGACCATCTGTCCCAAGGAGATGTCGGTTTTATTGTCCACAAGTGTCTCGTCAACAACATTGTAAAGATTGGGAGTGTGTTGACGAGGGTCGCGTACCTGATACTCAGAATAACCACAAGGTATTCGCCGAAAAGGTTTACGCACCAACCTCGGCACATCCCGATGAGGAGGTGGAGAAAATGTATGAGGATATTTTCAGAGCCATGCATTCCTCCAAAACCCACTACACGGTGTAGATGGGAGACTTGAACGCAGAACTAGGTACAACAGAAAGCGGTGAGCTGAAATTAGGGAATTTTGGAGTAGGGCAACGGAACTGTAGAGGCCAGCAGCTGGCCGACTTTATGGAGAAAGAAGGACCCTTTATGATGAACTGTTTCTTCCAGAAGAGGCCCCACGGGAAGTGGATCTGGTCGAGCCCCGACGGTTCGACAAAAATGAGATTGACTTCATTATGCCTACCAGACGCCAATTGTTCAGTGATGTCTCAGTGATCGCAAGGGTGAAAACTGGTAGCAACCAGCGAATGGTTTGAGGAACACTGAACCTAAACGTTAAGTTGAAAAGGTCTCGTCTAATGAAGTCAACGTTCCGTCCCCCTCGTACTCTAATCCAGAATCTCGAAACGTTTCAGCTCGAGTTACATAACCGCTTTCAGTGCCTAGAAGATTGCAATGCAAAGGACGATATGATTGACAAGCTCGTGAGAACGGTGGGAGCTAAGTTCTGCAAGACCCGCCGCAGAAGAACACAAAAACTCTCCGATCACACTCATAATCTTATGGATGTTAGACGGGAGATGAGGCTGCAATCGTCAACATATTTGGCAGCATACAGGCAACTGAACAGACAGATCTCCAAATGTATACGACAATACTTACGCAAATTGAATACTGCTCGTATTGAAGAAGCGATCGAGCGGAACCAGGGCTCCAAAGTCTTTGCCAGAGATCTGTATTCCAGTAAGAGACAACTGTCAAAGCTGAAGACTGAGTGTGGCAGCATCGTTTCCAGGACAGCTGAGATTCTGAGTGAGATTGAGAGGTTCTATGGGCAGCTGTACACATCATCGTTGAAGCAACACACAAATGTGAGTAACGATCCAAGAGCAAGTCTGATCCGACACTATTCCGATGATATCCCGGACGTTAGTCTGAGCGAGATTAAAATGGCTCTCCAGCACCTTAAAAATAGCAAGTCCCCGGGCGAGGGTATAATTACAGCGGAGCTTTTGAAAGCTGGTGGAAAACCGGTACTTGAAGTCCTTCAGAGGCTCTTTAATTCCGTATTCCATGGTGGCACTACTCCGGAGGTGTGGAGCAGAAGTGCGGTTGTATTGTTCTTCAAGAAAGGTGATAACGCCCTCTTGAAGAACTGCAGACCGATTTCCCTTCTGAGCCGCGTCTACGTGCTGTTTTTGAGACTCAATACGAATCATCTCGCACGCAGGATCGACGACTTCCAGGCTCCCGAACAAGACGGTTTCCGAAAAGGGTTTAGTACCATAGACCACATACATACCCTTCGGCAAATTGTTCAGAAGTCCGAAGAGTACAATATGCCACTTTGCCTGGCGTATGTGGATTATGAGAAAGCCTTTGATTTCGTCGACATTTGGGCGGTGCTAAAGTCTCTTCAGCGTTGCCAAGTTGACTGTCGGTACATCGAAGTGCTGAAGTATTTGTAGAGTAGGGCTTCGATGGCTATTCGAGTACAGAACCAGAGTACGAAACCTATCTAACTGCAGAGAGGTGTAAGACAGGATGACGTTATTTCCTCGAAACTCTTCATCGCTGCATTGGAAGACGTTTTCAAGCTACTGGACTGGGAAGGATACGGTATTAACATCAATGGTGAGTACATCACTCACATTCGACATATTATAGTCCTTATGGCAGAATCGCTGGAGGACTTAAGCACCATGCTCAATGACCTCAATAGTGCCTCCCAACGAATAGGTCTTAAGATAAACAGGGACAAAACAAAGATCATGTTTAATGTCCATATCACACCTATGCTGGTATTTGTTGGGAGCACTAAGCTCGAAATTTATGACGAGTATGTTTACCTGGGACAAATAGTCTGACTAGGTAAGTCCAACTTCGACCGATAGGTCAATCGACAAATTCATCTCGGCTGGGCAGCGTTCGGGAAATTACGACACATCTTGTCGTCAAGTATACCTCAAAACCCGAAAACTAAATTGTACAAACAGTACGTGTTGCCAGTGATGACCTGCGGAACCGAGACGTGGTCCTTCACTGCTGGCCGTATGAGGACGCTCTAAGTCACTCAGGAGCAATGGAGAGGGCTATGCTCAGAGTTTCTCTGTGTGATAAACTTAGAAATGAGGATATCGGCAGTAGAACCAGAGTGACCTACATAGCCCAACGGACTAGTAAGCTGAAGTGGCAATGGGTAAGCCATATAGCTCGAAGAACCGACAACAGTTGGGGAAAAAAGTTTTTCGAGTGGCAGCCTCGTACCGGTAGGCGAAGTGTATGGCGACCCCCCGCTAGATGGAGTAACGACCTGGTATGATATGCAATAAGTCGATGGATGCAGGTGGCAGGACCGTGCTTGCATACCTTGGGGGAGACCTATGTTCAGCAGTGGACCTGTGAAGGGCTGTAACGATGAATGATGATGATGATGTAATTTAACTAGTCTAGTATTTCTGTGTATTTACATCGTCACATTAGTTCAGATAACTTGTGAGTTAGAAAATAAAGTAATATAGGAAAAGTCTTTATCTTCTTCCACTTCAACCCTCCTAAGCTGCCGCAAACGTAAGTTGCTATTGTTTATTTTATTTTATTATATTTTATGCATCGCTCGTTCTCAAAACCAGTTACAAAGTTAAAGATGATAAGCGATTGGTGCTATTTTATTTATTGTATTTTATTATTTTTTACTCATCACATGAGTTCTCAGAACCGGTGACAAAGTTAAACATATAGCCCGAAAACCATCCATAAGGTTGAATGTGCGCCAAAAGCAGATTTTTCACGCTTCATAGTCAATTTATTGTCATTAAAAACTACGTAATCACATTTTTTTAAATTGCTTATGAAAGTTTAAGATTTGTCTTAGTGAATTATGGTGCCCAAAATATGATTGACATATTTCAGCGCGATGGAAAAAGATCGCAAGTTTTCCTCAAAATCTACAAGTGGACGTACCTACACTAAGTGAAAAATCAGTTACATTCGAATGTACTGAAATCAATTTAAATTAAATTCAGGGTTTGTGTTCACCAGTAAATACGTGAGTAAAATAGGGGTTTATTTTTCAATAAAACTATATATCATATTAAAAAGAAATATCAAATAAATATTGTGCGATTAAATAGCGCGCGGCCCGACCAAACAGTCCCGCCAGTCATCCGCAGCGCGTCTTAGAGAGCATTCGTGTACAACTTTATCACGCCCGCTGTCGTCATATAAACTTAAAAATATATTAAAAAATATTGATAGCCGTGGTATTCCATTGAGAGGTAGTGAAAAATTAAGCATCCAAACCAGTTTGTCATGCCTTCCTTAGTCCTAGTATCCACTCAAACAGTGAGCTAGAAGTAAGCAATAAGTATCTAAATATACATAGGTAGTAGGTACTAAGTATGTTTATAATACAGACTGATAAGTAGAAATTTGTTATAGGTATGAGTTAAGTGACCATTTTTTTTCCAGCAGCCCCGAGTATTGATTTCAAACTAATTGAAGTTGGCGGGGTTTCACCACCGTGCCTTCGGAAGCACGTTAAGCCGTCGGTTGTGCGCCTGATCTCTCTCCCGTCATCTCGGATTACCGTTCCATCGGACTATAAGAGTGAGGGAGTAGGGTCTACCCTACTCCTCTCAACTCTACGCGCAAGCACAGGTCTACCTGTGCTTGCGCGTAGAGTTGAGTAATATAATCCTGTCCTGCGCAGATGGCTATTCTCCGTTGAAAATGGCCACCGTTACCAAAACTCAATCTGGAGCCCTTTATTATAGTTTTAAAAATAAAACACATAGTTATTTGAATCTTTTAATGATCAAAAGTGAGAATCAAAATTTGGAATCATATAAAATCTGGCTGCTAGCTCTAACAACGAATAAATACTAATTTGAAATAACTTATGCTTTATGTTAATTTATTGTAGATTATTTAAAAACTTCCTAACTTTAGGTTCAAAAGTGTAGGTTTTCAGAAAAATCACGTAACTAGTCAGGCCGTACCGGCAAACCTCGTACGAGACGCGTGGTGTCATAATGATGGCACGGGTGACAGAGTTTGCATGTTAGTCCCGAACTTGGTTCCTTAGATATTACACTCAATAAAACACCAAAATATAAACTTTTATAATTGTTTCGATTTCATAGAGCGTTTATGATAACATTTAAATTCAGAAACCATATAAAAACATTACGTGAGATAAAAACTTAATGAACAAATATTTTCAATTTGTTTTAAATGTTCGTGTTTGTGTAGATTATGAATAAAAATATAACAACTTCATTTGATTATTTTAGAAAAAGTTATGAACGATTATATTCGAAGAAGTGCGTTTATGATCACATTTAGTCATAAAACTATATGAAATTTTGAGGTGAGATATTTTCCGTATTTTTTACATAAATCCGCCATAATGACGAAGATTTAAAAAAATCATCGAAATCGGACGATTTTTCAATTTTCTAGAGCAAAAAAAACGATGTGACCCCGATAGTATAAAATTACCAAGTACTATTTAAAATGAAAATAAACTAGGTACATACCTCGGTAGGTATGTAGTTTATTTTTATGTTGAAAAGTAAGTATACGTCGAATCGTAAATAAGCGTCTATAGGCATAGGTACAAGTCGTATCATGTTGTACTTGTTTATAATTTAATATAGGTATCGCCACACAGAAGGCTCTTTTGGTGCACCCAATTATTATATGAATTTATTTTGTAAATAAACACTGATTATATCAATTAATTACAATATATTGGTATACTATGTAGATTTATTCAACTATTAGTGGGCTATGAAATAATCCTACACTTATGAAAGTGTGATCTAGAGCTTGTCGCTGGCTTGGGTAAAAAATATCTATAAATCAAATATCGATATTTTCTTTAATATCTTTAATATATATCGTCAATATTTATAAATCGCGATATATCTATATTCAACACGTGAATACATCGATATTGTTTAAAAATATCGATACTATATATATATATATATATATATATATATATATATATATATATATATATTATATATTATATATATATAATATATATATATATATATATATATATATATATATATATATATATATATCGATATAGTATTTCACTTGCCCATCCATACTCGTCGCTATTGCCACATGAGTAGATAGAGCTGGATATGCGAGGGACCCAGCGTGGCGATAGCCTGCCTGCAGCTTCTTCAGCCCCTTAAAACTTACGTGACCACGATAAAATTTCGCCTTAATAGATTATATGCTTTTTGACGTTAGCAATAACTTTGTGGTTTCTTGCACACAAAAGTGAGATCGATTTTAGCGATTGACGAAAACAGTGTCGCGATAAAAATTGAGTTTAGCGACATTTGATTATTGTAAAAATGTACAGCATATTAACAATAAAAGACATCCTGATAGCATTACGAGGGTGCTCTGGTAGTAAATACTGGTCTGATATGAAAATCATAGCGAACGAGGAAATGAAATGAATGATTTTTATGCAATATATATTATTTCCTAATAATAATTGAAAGTCATTTTTTTATTTCCCAGTGGTTAAAGAAATACCTATGTCCTGGGAAGAACCAGCAAAAAACGCAGCATTTTTTAAACATATTTCACTTTATAATTTTGTTTGTACAATTTTTGAATGTAATTTTATAGAACTTTCATGATGATGGTCACCTCATTTGCAGGGGTTATTTTCATTTATATTTTTTTTAATATTATAACAACCCCTTTTGTACAATTTTTCGTTAATAAGTCACTTAAACTTGTTTATTCATAAATCTATAACATTTTCTGGGATTATGTTGTAAAAGCGTATGATTCAGTGTAGACATTGACCCATAAATTAATTACTAATTATGTGGAGTCTGGTAACAACCAGTTTTACAAGCTTATGGTTGTTCCTAGTATTTAAAGTATGAACATCTTTATTCGTATAAAAGCTATTTATGTTTTATGTACGTACATTACATTTTGAAAAATATGTTGCGTTACTAAATTTAATATGTTTATTTCTTTAAATTTATCTCTAAGGGACTTTTTACAATTTAAGTTATAACTTGCCCGTGCGGTTAGGTAAAGTTGGTACGCACGGATTCAGCAGAAAAAGTTCGATTTACATTTATTAATAATACCATAGACAAATTTTCCGCAGAATTAAAAACGGTTTTAATGTAGATGTAGACAGAGCACACAGTTCCCAATGTGATAAGTGGATGCTGCGGTTCACAGACATCGATATCTATAATCAACTAAAAATTCGAATGCTGATGTGTTGTTACCCTTGATGACTAAGATGAAATACCTCTTTTACAGTGAAAAAGGTTTTTGGTTCCCTACACTTACAATAAAAGCAAAGTATTATTCTGCTATTTCACACTAGTATTTTCTGAAAACGTGGTTCTACTCCGGCCGAGGCGACTCATTCGTGGAAAATATGCAACGCTTTAAAAAAATTTATATAAATATTCAAAAATCCTCTTGAAAATAAGATATAAAAGATAAATAGATTTATCAAGGAAAAATTTGCATACTTACAAACGGTATCTCCCATTAGAAAATGTGCATGTCCGATAAGCGGCAATCCTCCTGGATACGTGGGAGGTTCTAGTTTAGATTTTGTGTTTCGATGCCGCCATGTCCAATACAGTACGAACGTTATACAAAATAAAGCTAAAGTCAACATCTCGATCAAACCTAAAACACTAGTTATTGTATGATACATTGACTTGAATATTTTTCTTCATGAGGAAACCTGCATGAATTTAAAAAGACAAAGAATCTATATGACAGACATAAGTGATCTGTTTCCCAAACGTAGCAGGAGAAAATCTTTAAGCAGTGGGAATAAATATCAACATTGTATTGGTGAAATACACCATTGTATTTGAACAAAAAACACTTTAATGGTGCGCGTTTCCGTGACTGTTTTTGACTGATTTCTGTGAATATGCTTATTTTTTTACTCTAGGTCTACATCGAGTTTCATTTTGAATAAAAGATTAGGAAAGTCAATCAATTTATACAAAAAAATTATAGACACCTTGCGTAGTTGTAGTATTTTCATATTCAACACCAATACTTTATCTTTAAATTTTGTGCCAATTTATACTATCCTATCAGCATGTTAAAAATCAAATAAAGAAATAAAAATAAATAAATTGCTTAGGGAATGCCTATGTTCTGCAGTGAACTTATGAAGGTGTCTAACTATGATGATAGTATTATTTATTTTTTTATTGAGGCGGTATAAATAATATTAACAAGGGAAAAGAAAAGCAACATTTATTACCTTCATCCAGAATTAAAATGCTATATTGCAGCCCATACAATATGACTGTTAAAAATTTTAATTTATTACCTCCGAATAAGAGAAATGATAAAAGTTGCTCAAATTTAATAATAAATTAAATAAAATATAATATACAATGCTGTTTTTGGAAAAACTTCTTCAAAATTAAACTCCTCTTCGATAAATCTACATATTGTCTTCTTTATTTTATTGTGTAAACAAAGCATAGATTCATTTTGTGTTTAGCCTTCTTCAGAAGAAAGCGGTCTTAACTCTTTTATCCTTGTTAATAGTGAAATTTAAAGTTATAGCCTATATACGCCCCACTACTGAAAACAGGCCTCCACTCATTTCTAAGAGTGTTTTGGAGCAAGGAAGTGTCCGCCGCGCTGCTCCAATGCCTGTTGGCAAACTTCATATGTCTTCGAAATATTTCTTGTCTTATTTCTCAGACATGCAGATTTCCTCACGATATTTTCCTTCACCGCCAAGTACGTGGTAAATTAGCACTTAAAATTGCAATTAACACTTCGATGATGTAATTAGTTTATTATATATTGTAATATATAATTATATTAATTTTCTAAAACTAATTGTCCTATTTCAAAGAAACTTAGCGCAGATAATTTGCGTAGAGTGTACAGTGCTAAGATTTATTTTATAGCTATCTTTATACACCAAAAAATCGAGATATTCATTAACAAATCAATTTGTATGTCAAAATACACAAGTGTCATCTAATGTAGATGGTATACCGCGTGGTAAATGTTTAACAGTTAAAACTTTGTATTGACTTCCTGGAAAAATATGAGACGTGATAATATTTTCAAATTTGAATTTAATATTCTTACCATTACTGTTACAGCTGAATGAAGTCCACTGCTAGGCAACATAGGCCATAGATTATCACGGGATGATATGGAGTAGTGGATATTCTTAAAACGCTACTTCTTTGTAGGTACTATAGTTAATATTCTTACGTCTCTTTTTTATTTATGGGTTCCGCTTTGTAATAACATATGTTAATGTTTTTTTATATATTTCTTTTAAAATTTTAAGAAATATTAATTCTTATATGTGCTCATATTAAAATAAATAATTTTCCATTTAAAGATACCTGTATTATTCACTATTAATTAACTTATCTAAGCTCGTCAACACACAAGTACAAGTGGTACCTGGCCGGCCAGGACAAGACTGCCGCTTTCGCTTGAGACATGTTGGTGTATTTGCATACACTATATCCCCTCCTTGTTTTAATGTACTATTTTTACGTATTTTTGGTTATTGATAAAGCTATTTATAATAAAACACCTTATTTAACTTTTACTGTTTTATTTATTGAAAGTCACTAATCATAAGCATAGTACTATTTAATTAAATAATTATTAATATTTTGTGCGGTGTTCATTATAGCATCTTAATCATTTTTGCGAACCAGTGGTAACTGAAAAAAAATATGTGATTTTCAATAAGTATTATTTATAATCTATATTGTGTAAAAAGTTTCTTTTTCTGTTTCTATTACGCTCTAAAGTTTATACATAATATATACTCTCAAAATTTTCTGAAATATCTCGGGAGCACACGTAATTCCAAACGTTAACAGCTTATATCTGAATAGACCTTTGCTGGAAATAAAAGTAGTAATATACCTGGAGTCTGGATGTATCTCAATCTGGTAAAATGTATTGAAAAATTGGCATTGCATTATCATGGCATTTTTAATAGTAGGCAATAAATTTTCCATGGTTTTTGGTCGATTGTCACCTCATATCTACACAGAGACAGATCTCTCCATTGTCCTTTAATACAGGGACCACTGGAGAGACATACTTTGCAGAGCTGTAAACTTCTTCAATAATAAGTAGAAGCGACAGTAGCCTAATGGCAGGGCACGGACTGCGAATTCAAAAAGGTCATGGGTTCGAATCCGTCATTCGACTACTGGCGTGAACCACTCGTAGCACAAGCAATTTAAGCTTACCACGAATTGTTAAGGGAAATATTAGTAATGTTTATAGCATTGTTAATATTCTTTTTTAAGAAACAAAAATATCTCTTTCAATTAGTTTTTTTTATTGTTTATTATTTCTTCCAAGGATAAAGGAATTCTTCCCCCTCTTTTATGAAAAAGGGTTTTTCATAAAAGAGGGGGAAACGAGCATGCAGCTTACGTTATGGTAAGAGACTACTGCCGCCCATGAACAACCGCAACACCAGGGGAATTGCATGTGCGTTGCCGACCTTTTAGAAAGGAGTAAGCTCGTTTCTTGAAGGACGTCGTATTGTTCCGGAAAAATCACCCGTCGTAAAATGTTCCACAAAAAAGTTGTACGAGGAAGAAAACTTCTAGTAAAACGCATAGTAGTCGATCGCCAAGCATCCAGATGGTGAGGATGGTATCGAAAATTTTTACGCGATGTGTGTTCGTGAAATTTGGCGGCTAAAAATAATCCGAAGACTTCCACAGAACAATTTCCGTTGTAGAAACGATAGAAAATGCAAAGGGATGCAAAATCCCTACGGAGCGCCAGTGAATCGAGCCAGAAAAGCGAATCAGCAAGAACTCGGTCGTCGATGAATCGAATCGCTCTGCGCTGTATGCGGTCAAGTAGAAGGACCTGGCACTGGGGTGCCCCGGCCCAGAGATGAGAAGAGTATTCCATGTGAGGCCGGACTTGTGCTTTGTAAAGTTGCAAGCGATGTGCCAGCATGAAAAAGTGTTTTGGTTTGCCAAGCTTTTTGGTTTTCTTCCAAGAGACTAGGAAACTACACACTATTAGTTATGTCGACGCCGAAGATTTCGGTGCTAGCTGAGGCAGCAAAGGGAGTGCCTTCAAACTGAGGAGATACGATAAAGGGGTAGGTTTTAGTGGTAAACACGCAAACTTGAGCGTTATGGGAATTGAATTTTACTCTATTTTGTAGCCTCCAATCTGAGACTTTGTTCAGCAAAGACTCGACTTTAGACACAAGATTGTCCCGGTACGCGGCTACGATTTTCCTAGTAATATTGGCACGGCCGCTGTATAAGGCATCACCAGTGCTGTCGTCCGCATAACAATGATTGTTACCAGTTTACAACATATCATTAATATGCAAAAGAACAGAGTTGGTGTTAGCATGCAGCCTTGTGGGGCACCAGCGTTAATAGTGTTACGTGTTCTAGTACATACCAGTCATACTTATATGTCAGTCAAGTCTGAATAGTATACTACAGTTGCTTTACACAAAGCTTTTCAAGCTGTGTGGGTAGAAGACCAAAGACCGGGCTTCGGGGAATCATGCTACATCACGATAACGCCTCTTTACATATCTCCCTTGGAACAAAAGCATTTATTGAGGAATCTTGTGTTGAAACTCTAAGTCACCCACCCTACAGCTCTGACTTAGCTCCTTTTGATATATTTTTGTTCCCGAGAGTCAAAGAAAAAATAAAACGCAAGTTTTTTTTCTAGCGCCGAAGAAGCTGTGGCTGCCTACGAAGAAGCGATTTCTGACCTGTCAGATCAAGAATGGCAAAAGTGTTTTCAGAGTTTGTTTAGCGAATAGAAATTTGTATAGAGCATTATGAAGAATATTTTTAAAAGATGTAAAATAAATATTAATAGTATCTATAATACTTTTTGTATATCTCAAAACTTATTGAGTGTCCTACATAGACCAGAAGATCACCAGCTAATTAAACACCACGTAAACCGTATTGGCGGTCCCTAATCAGCTGGTGATCCGCAGAAACTGGTTGCACTTTTTTATTGATCGGTATTTATATTAACACGTCTTTAAACGACGTTATTGTTTCCATTTGGGTTACAGACTAATAATTTAAGTTTAAAAATACAGAATGTCAGCATTTGAAAATAAAATGTAAAGAACTGTAAATAAATTAAGCAATGCTGGTTGGTAACATGATAACTACAATCGGTTGTTTCTTCTTCACAAATGCTGTTTCGGACGGAGGAGAGGCAAACCGTGGTGTGGTCCTCCGCCAGGGGTACTGCCAAAGAGTTGGCTCTTGTTGACCGTGCTTATCGCATTCGCCACCACCCCAGGCCTGCACCCGAGTTTTACGGCTTGCACCCCAATTTTTAATACTTACATATGAAACAATGTCAAATATCGTAACTACCCAAGATATATCATTATTGAGAAGCAACAATATATAACATTTTAAAAGTATATCTTAATTATATTATTATTTATATAAATTATGCAATTTTACATATTTAATCCGCCAAAAACAATAAGACCCAATATGTTTTAAGCATACTGTGCTAAGTTTTGTTACCAATAATCAAGACCTGTAGTGATTATCGAACAATTATTGATAGCTGATTCCTTAGGAAAGCTGTATAAAAAGCTGTCTAGGTGCGACCCGAAAGGTCCACACG